AAATTATAATGTTGGGACATGAAATTTTATTATTTAAAAAGGTATTAATTTATCGATAAATTATAGTGAGAATTTATAGAGAGATTACTAATTTATAATTTTAAAAAAATTCTCTCTAAGAATACTTTTTTCTTTATAAGCAATATCTTTTTAAAATCAATTGCAAGTAGAGAATCAATTATTAAGTTTAAAAAACAACACAAACATTTTGGAATAATAGAGTAATATTTCATTAAAAATTTGACATATAAGATGCTATCATAGTAATTCATATTTGACATATATATATTTATATCATATATATATATATATATATATATTAAGTTAAATATACATATATATATATAAATTGATAAGTTTATACAATTATTAATTTATAATATAGATGAGACCATATGTTTACATAGAATTTTTTAAAAAAATTATTATCTTATTAATTTATCGATTTATGTCATATTTTATACTGGTCCCAACTCGGGACCGGAATAATATATTAATTTAGAGAGGTTATTAATTTATAGAGTATTAATTTATAGAGGTTTTTTTTTTTTTGAAAGGTAATTTATATTACCTCAATGAAAGAGCCGACATATACCAATTCGAACCACTGAGGAACGTATTGAATTGGTAATTGAACGTATTGAACTACTACCCATCTCGAACCGGGCCTTGTGGCCTAGTGGTAAAGGGGTCACAGCTGTGACTTCCGCCACCAGGGTTCGAGGCACGGCTACTAGCAGGTTTACATAGGAGAATTGACAGCCTCGTGGGATTAGTCTTTGGGCCTAGGAAGCCTTTGGGAGATTCGCGGTTTAAAAAAAAAAAAAAAAAAAAATTTATAGAGGTTTGACTGTAGTAAGAACTAATACACAAAACACACTATTAGATGCCGACCTAAAAACCTATAAAAACCCTCTAACCATATAATTGATTAAGAAATTTTCACGTTTATTAATTATATCCTAAAGACTAAAGTACGTAAGTTTATTATATAAACTAGAGAAAACGTTAAACAACCTGAGCAATATCAACATTATCTAAAAATTTGAGACTTAGAAATGTCATCTAACAACAACTTGTTCACATCACTCATTGTTTTGGATACAAACATAAAATCCGTCAATGGTATAGTGAAAATGTCAAAGATAACAGCACGGTACTATTAATTTCTCACATAGTTGCTGGCTTGCTGCATAACTAACCAAATTAGTTCTTTAAAAATTCATGTACAGTAATAAATTGAAGGGAACTATTAAAAAAAAAAAATTGAAAAGGCAAAAATTACAAACATTCAACTACAAATACTTTTAGAAGTATTTATAGTTTCGCGAAAATCAAAAATTATACTCTAGTGTAGGCTAGTCCGGCCTAAGAAACCCAAGCTCTATTATTTTCAGATCTAAACTCTTCGATCTGAGACCTATTTTGTCTACAATCGGCCAAGTAGGTCTGACTGGAACCTAGGATGCACCCAGATTGACATTTCAGCAGGCCGATGTGATGTGTTGTACAATGTCAACTTTAACATGGCATGTATAGATGCATTTAGTGACGTGGCATGATCTATACCGTCCTTTTAGAATCATACGGACAGCCCAAAGAAATCCCAAAATATTTTTCTTTTAAGAAGATGATTTTTTTTTATCACTTTGTGCAAGACAGAATCTATGTGAGATCTTTAAACCTAATCTCATCTTACAAGGCAAGCTACGGTAATATATGCATCTGGTGTTTTGACTTTTGAGACTTGGCTTCTTGAGAAAATGGTCAAACTCTAAGAGTATGGTCATTAGTGATACTCAGAGCATGATTATCCAAAGGCTTTTAATAATATTTCTTAAGAATATTTAAATAATATTTTTTTGTTCCACCTCTTAACATTTTTTTTTTTCTTAGACTATGTACATTGGTTTCAACACACCATGCACACCATATATCTCTCTTCCATATCATCTTCTTTTTCTTCCACATCATAATTCAACATCCATATAATTTTTAATCTCTATAACAGTTTTGTTTAAAAAAATTACAACACCTTATCCCACCAACTTTTTTCATATTTTTCATTTTATTTATATTTATATTTTTATAATTACATATTATTAACAACAAACAAGAGTTATAAAAACTAATAACAAATATATAGTAAAAGAAATGATTTTTTTATGTGTGTTCAAATTAAATGAAACAAGTCTCTATTTTTTTTTTTTTTTTCAGCAACAAGTCTCTATTTATAGAGTACAAAAATGATGAATTTTGATATAAAAAAAATTAAAATAAAATTTAATATTTTATAACATAATTAATCTCAAATAATTGGATTGAAAAGAAAAAAAAACTAAAATCTCAGTATCCAATAACAACAAAACACATGGCATAGTGAGACCCACTTTCTATGTTCTTCAACTGTGTTGAATACACGTCAGCTTTTTTTTCTCTTTCAACATACCATTGCAGGTAATCAACAGTTGAATAAATTATTAAACTGTTGAAAAAGTAACCATTGTAAGAGCACCATTATTAGTGGTATCTTAGATGGTTCTTAGCTTATTATCTTATAATTAAACATTGAAAAATAAATCAAAACAGGTTAAAATGCTAAGATTTGACTCTTATCTAAGAGCTTTTGGGAGTGTTAAGAGCTAAAATTTGATTCTTAACTTACAAAAACCAAAATTTTAATATTAAACAATGTTAAGAGCTAAAGCTAAGAACCAACCGTTAATGATGGTCTAAGTAGTCTTAGCTAAGAAACATTTCTTAGCTTAAAGGCACTTTTGGGAATAAATATAATCAATTAAATGCTAACATAATGTTAAGATTTTCTTAAGAGACTACATATAATCATGCTCTAATAAAATATCATTAAGAATTTTTTAGTATTAATGTTTAATTAATATTTTTTTATTTTTTTTTCCTACTTTTGGCAAACGCGACCAATCAAGAGATGTCACGTCAGATAATATTGGTATCAAAAGTATCACTGCGCTAATACTAATCATGCCCATTCTAATTGTTTTGTCAATATAAAATAATTTATGGGCTTGTGATACTCTAAAAGTATAACCCATGTACATGGTCTAAGTAGAGAAAACTTAGTCAGCTGAGAGAGAAGACAAAGTCTCTTCTCTAATTTAGAATCATGGTGTACCACAAACTAAGTGACTCTTTAACACAACAAAACGTGAAACCCACCTGCAATATACGACGGACATGGTTACAAAAGAGATATATGCTAACACAATCCCAGAGACACATACATTAGCCCAGAGGCCCCAGACCTTGACTCTGTCTCTTTTCTCTTCTTACATTCTCTCTGTTATTTGCTAAAGAGAGGAAAACAACCAAGAGATGAGGGGGGCTGAGTCGTTAGTTACCTTAAACCACAAGATTCTCAGACCATGTAGGAAACTCCTGATCAGAATCACCAAGAGTTGTCCCCGACGTCATAACCGGCATTTGAAACTCAAGAAAGCCTCTTCTTCTTCTACTACTGCTTCAGGGAACAAGGTCACCAAAGTGGTGGCTTTGTTCTTCCTCTCCTTCCATAAGAAGAAGCAGAAGAAAGAAAAGATGAAGCGGCTCAACGAACTCAGGAGCTTCTCTCACGCAGTCAGTGACCAGAAGAAGGCACCAAAGCAAGAATCAAGCAAGAAAGTTTTCCCATCAAGACTCACAATGTCTTGGCTAGGCCAAGGAAAGGGTAACAACAACACGCAGGAAGTCCCGCAAGAACACGATGCACGTAGAGACAGCACAAGCGCATTCATTCCTTGATTTTCAGTCAAATTTCATCAATTATGTGGATATTTCTAGGCTCTCTTAATGTACATTGACATTGAGACCCTACACTAATTTATATTACGCGATACTCTCTAGCGCAAGATCAAAATCTCTGTGTTTGCATTGTGGTCATTGAGAAAGATAAACAAGATTGATGCATATGACTTTGTAATGGAGTTAACATATAATATTAGAATCATCAAGAAACGATTGTAATATCAAGAATCCAAATAATATCGAAAACAGAGAAAGAGAAGAAGATAGACATTGAAATTTTATACATCTATCCTAAAAGCACGGACCAAGTTGCTTCATTCCCTACACCCAATCTTAGGCATATCAACTCACCAATAGGGTTGATACAAAGTTGGAGTAAGAAGCCAGGTTTCTATCCTCCAACCAGTTCTTGGCAACATCTCCATTGTATGAGAACCTAAAGCAGAGACCCAAAAAAAAAACAGAGCAATTAAAAAAAGAAGAATTGACATTCTCGTTAAAAGAAGGTCAACGAAATTGCTTGCCAACAATATAGATTTAGAACACTACATTACAATTGAAGCTAAAGTGTTTAACTAAAAATACGCACAGAACTGATTTTGGCTAAACCCTAATTGAAAAACCCACATACAGAAACAGAATCAAAATGTGGGTAGAAGAATCTCAAGAAAGAAAAATTAGCAGAGAAAATCTTACTCTTTGGAGAAGATAAATCTGGAAGGAAGCTCAAAAGAAGTGAAGCCATTGGGCGTGGTAACAGTATTAGGGGTGGGAAAAGGCTAAAGGGTTAAACCCTAAGAGAGAGAGAATTAAGAGTTAAGAGTGTATTTAAGTAAAAGTAATGATCTTTGGCGAGCGGCGTGCTTACAGTTCTGCACAGAGCACATTTATCAATGAATGTGAGAGACAGACAGAGTGAGACTCTTTGTTTTTTGGTTTCGACGTTTCCTGATTCGAATTCGAACAAGGTCCCCTTTGTTTTCTTCTCATAAAAAAAAAACAAATTAAAAGACAAGAGAAAAAAACTTCCCCCGGGTCAATGTTGGGTTCCTTAGTGGGCTCTTAATGGGCCTAATAGCAAACCAATGGACGATGCAAAAGTAATATCTTCTTTATGTTCATGTTTGGATCCTGATAGTCTGATACAGAGATTAGAGAATAAACGACTAGTAAAAGTTGTTTGATATCGTTATATTCGATAGTTTTTCAAATTTTTAATAGAGTACTTACCAAAATATAAAGTACATTTCTTCTTCTTGATGTCACAGGAAACAAATTTTGCTCTCTCTCTCTCTCTCTCTCACAATCAATGACAAGAGAACAGCTGTTTCTGTTCGGCTTTTGTCCACATCTGACCAAGATAAATCCAACTCAGATATATTTATCACACTTCCAATTCCAACTAAGTACAAGTTAACACTTAACAAGCCTTCCAATTATTGTTGTTCTTCTCATAATTAATCCGAAATTTCATTCTGTTTCCTATTACAATTAAGGAAAAATAAAGAATATGAAAGAAAAAAATAATAGGAACTAAAGGAGAAATCTTTGTTTCACATTTCCCCAACTTCACTTAAAAATAAAACAACACGGGAATACTTGCAATTTTCCTTAATATGCAAAAAAAGTATTAGATATCACTAGATTAGTTTAGTTGGTTTAGTAATTTATGTACAGCTTGGTTATCAACTTTGGTTAAGAGTCTTAGTATTTAAGGTTTTCTTTGTACATCTTTTACGATTGAATGGAGTAAAATCATAATTGAGAAGTAAAGTTTGTTAAATCTGAAATGGTATCAGAGCAATTTTTTTCCTTCTTCAAGCTTTGCTTCGTCAAACTTCATTCTTCTTCCGCAAGCTCAAATCATCTTTCATTCTTTGTTCATACCTCTTGCATCTATCATCATCTTTTTCTCCGATTCATTCTCGACATTTTCATCGGAGATTTTCTACTTTCTTCTTCGTTTTCTTGCTTTTCCGATCGTGTTACATTCCGATCGCGTTGATCGTGTTCGATTTCGTGTTTCTTCACGGGCGAAATCTTGTTTCGATTCCGGTTGTTATTTTTTTTTCTTTCATCTATCTTTGTTTCCGATCAAAGCTGATCGTGTTCATCTTCATTCTGATAATCATTGGTCTTGTTATCATCGATCTTGATCATCAATCATCGATCTTATCTGTTTTTCTTCCGATCATTTCATCACAATCGATCGTGATTCTGTTATATCGTATTCATTGTTCTTCGTTTTCATTCCGATCAAGTTGATCGCGTTTATCATAGTCGCAATCGACTATTTCTTCTGGTTCAGAGTTGATCCTTCATTATCCGATTGATTCATCAAAGTTGTTCGCGTTTTTTGTTCGAATCGAGCTCCGTTTCGAGAAGAGCGAGCTTCGTAGATCTCAATTTGTGCTTCAATTGCTCAATTTCATTTTGCGTTATCCGATTTGACTACCTCGGCTTCTAGATTGAGATTGACTTCATGATCTGCGTTTGAGATTTGGTATAATGGTTACATATTCTCCGCTGATTGATGCTCATTCCAGCTCATGATTCTGCTAAATCAACATGATTTGATTCTGGAATTGTCTTCGTTAGTGATGATGTTGTTGCTCGAGAGGGGGAGCTTCAATTAGAACAGTTTAGGCAGAACCATTCTTTTGATGTTGATACACGATGCTTCGATCTAGCTGCATCTGTGATTGATCTTCTTGCGTTTTGTCGTGTTACTGAGATAGCTTTTTCGCTGGAAATAGTCTCAACATTACTAGATATTCTTGAAGATTGCTATGACTTTCTACTTCTAATTGCTATGGATTATGACGTTATTGTCATGTTATTGCTGAACTTTGGAGGATTGCAAGTGATAGCTCATCCTCTAGCCGGTTTAGTTGGTTTCCATGCCATTGAGATTGATGTCCAGATCCTGCAATTCTTTCTGCAGATTGATGTAGATCCTACTACAGCTGGTTACTTTGTGGCATTGATGGCATTTGATGATATTGTTGAAGTTTCTCTTTGGCTCACTTCCACGAACACCAGAAACTTCATCTAAGCCAATATGTATGATTCCCCTGACCTTAATCTTTATTATATTAGGCTGTGGAACTTTTGGCAATGGAGTTAGATGTTGTTCGTTGGATTCTTGTTATCAAGAATTTGCTTCATCCGGATATGTTCTTAGAAAGGGGGAGCTAAGGTTAGAAGGTCTTAGGCATCTTGCTTTCACGTTCAAAACATTTTATTTGAAGTTGTCTTCAAGTGGGTGCATCAAGGCCAGAATTGTTATGGTTTATTATTTGTGTACACACATGATCAAGTCTCCTTCTCAAGACTGATTCTGGTTTCTCATCACATAATCCCCGATGTCTTTGTCAAGCCACCAACAGGGTGTTTTGTGCTGTTGATATATGTTGCAGTGAGATTAATTTAGTTGGACTTAGTTGTTGCTATTGTGGAGCAAGTTCTGTTTTGGCTAGTAATGATACTGTCATGGTTAATAAGCTCAGTTCAGCCACCTGCTAGTCCACTATTTCTTCTGGTTATTGATGGTACAATAGCTACACTGTTTTTGGCTTCCTACCCCGTTATATACAGTTACATAAGAACCTGTTGAAGTTCGACGAAATGCAAGTAAGATGTGTTCCAAGACAGTGGGAGTTGAAAGTGATATTTGAGAAATCTACATTGTTATGCTTGTATATTTTTTTTGCTACCATCTGCTTGAAGTTGTTACTGAGGCTGCGATGGAGGCCTTACTGCTCTCATCTGCTCTCATCTTCTCTGGTTTACAGTGCCACATAATGCTAATGAAGATGGTGAATATGTTAGACAGTGGAGTGCGTTTGATGTTGATGCTCATTACAGTGTCACTCATCCCCCAAGAATCTCTCATTACAGTGGAATGCGTTTGATTTTAAGGTTTTCAAGTCCAAGATGAAAGTCCCTTTCATCTTGAGGGAGTATTAGATATCACTAGATTGGTTTAGTTGGTTTAGTAATTTATGTACAGCTTGGTTATCAACTTTGGTTAAGAGTCTTAGTATTTAAGGTTTTCTTTGTACATCTTTTACGATTGAATGGAGTAAAATCATAATTGAGAAGTAAAGTTTGTTAAATCTGAAAAAAAGAAAAAAAAAAGAGTTGGGAAAAGATGAGAAAATATGGCAAACCGGTAACGGTTCAAGCCTCCAAAAAACCGGTTAACCTAAGAACCGAATTCCGAACCCGGCTCAGATCTCTTCCCTTAAGAGTCCTTCCACTACCTGAACAAACGGAAAACGCCATTTGTCCTCCTTGAATCCTCCGTCCGACCATAATATGCGGCGGAACCATCTCTCCTACGTCGGAATATTCCTCCTTGGAGTAATCATCCTCCTCTTTTCCAACGTACCTTCTAAACATGTTCTCTGGAATATTCACCGGAAGCGAGCTCGACAACGCCTTATCCGTCGTCGTCATCTTGATCCACCTCTTCTTCTTCATCTCCATATCGGAACCAAACAGGCGCTTCTTGTTCTCTTTATGGTGAACGGAGCTAAAACCGTCGGAGAACACTATCTCAGATTCATCGAATTCCTCCGCCATTTACAGAGAAGATTTGGAAGGTTTTATTAGTATGGATTGAAAATATTGATATTAGGGTTTGGAGAGACTCCAAATGATCTTAATCTCTAAACAAAATGAAGGGTTTTATATAGGGAAGAGAGAAGACGAAGGAAACGTAGAGAGTCACAAGACGTTGTTTTGGGGTTTTGTGTTGTGTGTTTTATGAGATCAGATGATGTCATCATGATCATGGCATTGAGTGCGGACCCCGCTTACCTTCTATATCTGTACACTTTTACACTTGGATTAGTATATGTAATTAACGAATTTTTGCTAAAGCAAAATACTTTATGATATGTGGACATATCTTATCTACATGTGTCTGAGTAACGCAGACTGGGGACTTCGATTGGATCGTCCTTTTGGTCTCATCATATTTATCTCTCGTAGTTTATTACTCCGTGAATGTTCAAAATGGATTTGGAACACCAACAAGGTATAATAATAACTAATAGTAAGAAACAAATTGGACACCTTTTTAGTTCCTGTTTAAGGAAATTATATTACTACTTTTTGTAAGGAAATAAATTTTATGTATAATTGAATATGACGTGAAAACACGTGAATTTGTCATATTTCGTAACTTGTGTCTCATGACTTTTTCTCATGCATCATTGCATTGTATACAAAACTTGATATGTCCCTTTGTAAATTATTCTGAAAATATTTTTCATTTAAATAAGTAAATTCAATGAATGCGGAGAAAAAAATGTATGATCATGAATGTTATTGCGGACGTTCCAGTCTTAAAAGACCTGATCAAGCATGTATAGAAATTAAGTTTCGTTTAGTATAGTAACACAGTAACACTGGAGATTGGATTGGACGGAGACTGCAGATTTGTCATATAATGTATGCTGCTTTTGTATTGTATGTGACAAGTAACTGCAGATTGGCACACATAACTACATGGTCGAGACCAGGTCCAATTTTAAAAAATCAAAATCTATTTTGAACCATATTAATTTATAAAAGAACAATTTGTTATAGTCGATCACATTTTCAAATGGTGAAAGAAAACAAGTATGTTCAGAATTTTAATATGTGATAAGTTCGAATCTTCTGCACTATTAAAATATTGATAACTTCGTTAAATACTAAGCTTAGGATGGATTAAGTACTTATGGGAAGTTGGAAACAACACTTTTTGTGTGTTTTACTGGAAAAGGAATCTAAACGTCTGCGTGTACAGACACATCAGGGCTCCGTTGCTTTCGGCCCACGCGTACTGTTTTATATTTTTGGTGCTCTATTTTAACGTTAGCGGTAGCAGAGTAGAACATAAATTCATTTTATTAACATAGAAACATAAAATAATTATGTATTAGTTTTAAATCTTGTCAACTCATTCTGATAGTATTAGATTTTCGCTTTTTTATAATAGGTTCAATTATGAAGTTTTCCAATTTATAGAATTTTAACCAAAGTACAATTTATACCGAAATACTATTTAGAGATCAAATTACAAGAAAACACCGAAATTGATTGGCAAAAGCAAGTGATTAAGACAATGTAACTGTTTAATCAAGATAAAAAGAATATTAAGAACACCTAATGATGAAAGAACCATGAAAGATTCAGAGCGCAGCTCAATCTAAAACGCTTCTCTAAATTATCTCTTTTTCTTCCTCTTCTTCTTCCTTCTCTTCTCTTCTCTTCCAACCTTCAATCTCTCTTCAATGGCCGCCGCAGCCAACAATTCCGACAAAATTTACGGAGTCAATAACATCAAGACTCACATCCCTGTGATTCTTGATCTTGAAGAGAGTAACTACGATGCGTGGAGAGAGCTTTATCTCACCCACTGTCTCAGCTTCGATGTCCTTGGCCACATCGATGGCACTCTGCTCCCAGCTAACGCCGACGATGTCGCATGGAAGAAACGTGATGGGATTGTGAAGATCTGGCTCTATGGAACTCTCACACCCAAACAGTTTCAGGGTTCCTTCGTCTCTGGTTCAACCTCTCGTGAGATATGGCTGCGGATCGAAAATCAATTCAGGAATAACAAGGATGCTCGGGCCTTGCGTCTTGACGACGAATTGAGAACCAAGGAGATAGGTGACATGAAGGTAGCTGACTACTGTCGTGAAATGAAGAAACTTGCTGACTCCCTCAGTAATGTCGACGCTCCGGTGCAAGATCGTACGCTTGTGATGTATGTGTTAAATGCCTTGAACGCCAAATTTGACAACATCATCAACGTGATTAAGCATCGCCAGCCCTTTCCCAGTTTTGATGATGCAACAGCAATGTTGCAGGACGAGGAAGAACGTCTAAAGAAGGCGATCAAACCGAACCCTACACATGTTGATCACTCTTCATCGTCAACTGTCTTGGCTGTTTCTGAAGCTCCACCCGTCAACAACTTCCAACGATCAGGAAATCAACAGTTTCAGAACAGAGGCCGTGGCAGGGGAAACAACAAGTTTCGTGGAAGAGGCCGGTCGTCATACAACTCACCACGTCCATCTTACCAGTCCTCTCCATTCAACGCTTGGAACAGTCCATTCTACCCGCCACCATACCCGATGTGACAGCAGCCGTGGGGGTTTCCGCCTCAACTAACAGCTGCAGGAGGCAGTGGTTATGGGGTTCTTGGACCACGACCTGCTTACAACACACCACACAACAACACTCAAAATGTTGGAGGGAACAAGTATGAAAGCACAGCAGATTTTGCCCAGGCATTCAACACGCTGACACTGCAAGATCCCACCGATTCCCAGTGGTACATGGACTCCGGAGCTACCGCTCACTTAACGTCAGGCTCAGGTAATAATCTCCAAACTATTTTTAATCCTAGCATCAGAAAGTCTGTCATTGTGGGCAATGGTGGTTGCATACCTGTTGCTGCTACCGGATCCTTAACACTTGTTAATAAACCTCGTCCCTTATCGCTTCGAAATGTTCTTGTCACTCCCGATATCATCAAAAATCTTGTTTTAGTCCGTCGTTTTACTAAAGATAACACATGTTCTATAGAGTTTGACCCATTTGGTTTTTCTATTAAGGACCTCCACACCAAGGAGACACTTCTCCGCAGTGATAGCACGGGCGACCTCTATCCAGTTTTTTCTACATTCAATAAGAGGCAAGCTCAAGCTTCGGCGTTTCTCGCTCAATCGTCTAAAATTTGGCATCAAAGATTAGCTCACCCTAGCAATGATGCCTTAAGGACGTTAATTTCCTCTTCTTATTTTCAGTCAAATAAAAAGACTCTCCCTTTGTCTTGTAATGCTTGTCAGCTTGGAAAACATGTTAAGCTTCCTTTTTATTCTTCCACATCTTCTGTTTCTTCACCTTTTGAAATAATACATTCGGATTTGTGGACCTCATCTATTCCTAGCATATCGGGAATTCGTTATTATGTTCTTTTCTTGGATCAATTCTCTCATTTCTTGTGGGTTTATCCTCTTCGTAACAAGAGTGATGTCTTCTCTAAATTTTCACAATTTCATAGCTATGTGAAAAATCATTTTAAGACCAATATTCGGTCTCTCCAATGTGACAATGGAGGTGAGTACAACAACTCACAGTTTCATGATTTTTTCGCCAAAAATGGTATCACCTTCCGCTTCTCGTGTCCATACACCTCGCAACAGAATGGAAGATCCGAACGCATGATTCGAACTATCAATAACGCTGTTCGAACCTTGTTAATTCAAGCTAATCTTCCCACTTCTTTTTGGGTGGAGGCCTTAAACAATGCTGTTCATATTCTAAATCTTCTTCCATCTTCTTCGATAGACAACAAAATTCCCTTCTCTGTCTTGTTTCAAAAATCACCTTCTTACACTCATCTCCGAGTTTTTGGATCTCTTTGTTACTCTCATACAAACTATCAAAACAAACTCGAGCCACGGTCTACACCATCAGTTTTCCTCGGCTATCCTCTTCTTCATTCAGGTTACAGATGCTTTGACCTTAAGACAAGAAAAATTGTGATCTCTCGTCATGTCACGTTCAATGAGAAAGTCTTTCCGTTCAAGGCCTCAAACACTCAATCAAGTTCTGTTTATAACTTTCTCCAAAACGAAACAGAACCTTCTTTAATACAAAAACAAATCCTTCTCTCACCATCGTCTCTTTCTCCTTCTTCTTCCTCCGAGCAACCTGCTCCTCCTCTAATAGAGCAACAAACGTCTCAGCCACCTGCTGCAATTGAGCCGACACCACATCACAGGGTTACTAGGTCAAAGCAAGGTATTAGAAAACCAAAACAAATTCTTTCCTTATCGGTCGAATCTGTTTCTTCAATTCCTAAAGGTTATCGACAAGCTCTTTTGGATCCAAATTGGAATCCTTCAATGACGGATGAATATGATGCTTTGATTAAAACTAACACTTGGAGTTTAGTGCCTAAACCTGCAGGTACAAATATCATAAACTCAATCTGGCTCTACAAACACAAGTACAACGCTGACGGGTCTTTAGCTAGATACAAATCAAGGCTGGTAGCCAATGGTAAATCACAAGAACAGGGTATCGATTTCGACGAAACTTTTAGCCCCGTCGTGAAGCCTGCTACCATACGTGCGGTCCTCAATTTTGCTGTTGAAAGGGATTGGCCGGTTCACCAGTTAGATGTTCAAAACGCCTTTCTACACGGGACTCTTACCGAAACAGATTGATCGTATCTTATCTCCTAATATCATTCACCATCCAAACACAATAATTCATATATATGAACAAGGCTAGCAGCAATTCAAACTGTGTTTATTTATCGTTGCAATTAAAATTCTCTAATCCGGGAAACAATTGTCTCCTTATAGCGCTTATATTTCACAGTTTAATTATGATGATTAAATTGCTAATACTTCAATACGATGTGGTTTGTTCCGTAAACACTTTTGTGTAGGGTATCACTATCAGTAGGGTTGATATTGTTTAGTTATACGTATATTTGTATGTCGATAATATATATATATATAAGTCTACGGAACAAACCACAAACGGGTTTATCCTGATTATTCGTTGCTTAGTTTTGGTTTAATTTAACACGTACGTAAATACCACATGCAAATCTAATTAAGTAATACAAAATTATAGATTTAGTTTCGCAAGTAAATGGCCTTGGCCAATATTATTTGATGATGTTTTTCTTAAGATTCTCAAGCCTTGTCTTTTTAACTTTTAAGCAACGTATGCTTGGATAATATCTGATAGGCATCTCTTGCACAGTGGCGGAGTCAGAAATATATCTCATGGGGGTCATATATTACAATAATATTATTTGTTAAACTAAAATAAAATTTAAAGTAACTTTAAGAATTTAATTTTTACAAATAAAAAAAGAGAAGAAGAAAAATAGTATTTAAGTAAAGAGGAAAAGATGAAAACCTATATAAAATAGAATAAGAGTTAAGTATTGCAGCAATAAAAATTAGTCAAAAATTAATTAGGTGGTGCAAATGAAGAATATGAACTAGGAACATAGGGGTCATATTACATATTTAAGCCAAATAATTTAAATATTCTCACTAAATAAGCTTGCAAATTTTTTTTATTAAAAGTTATGGGGGCAGTTGACCCCCTTGCCCTTCATATAGCTCCGCCTCTGCTCTTGCAAATTAAATATGATAATTAAGAAAAAAAAAAAAACATGATAATTAAGAATTCGTATAATTTATTTCTATTGTATTCTAATGCACGCAATGTAATTTAATTACTCCTTTTTTTATATTCGTACTTATGAGTTTAGATTGATATTCTAGTACATTACCGTAAACAATCCTTTATACGTGATTTAATGTTTTTTGTTTGTTAACAGGCGAAATATATCATTTTTGAACTACCTAATGATATTGTTTATTTTCTAATTATATTTGGATTATTAACAAAATGCTTGGGTCCGTTTGGATAAGTCCAAAATTATAATTTTAAAGTCAACTCTTATTGGAAACATTTCAAACATTGGATTTTTAGTGATTTTAGGGGACTTTAGAGGATTTCTTTAGTTAAAATATAAAAATCTAAATCTCATGGTTTTAAGTGAAATTTGGGGAGATTATATAACAAATTCCCTAAATTCACCTAAAATAATCTAAAAACTTATTAAAACTCAAATCATTAATTTATATATAAGATTGAATTAGTTTCATTTTTGTACTTGGCATATAATATAAAGAGATGATTAGTTAAGTTATTGTCCTAAGTTATATGATTGTGCCTTGCTGTTGAAAGATTTGCCGATCTACGTTGTTGTCAGCGATTCGCCAAGATTTATAGAAACCAGCTACATCTACATGTCTGGTTTTTATAATCACATTAAACTATAACGGAGGACAGATATCTATATATCATAGACAAAATGTAATTATATTTTATAGAAAACGTCACGTTTAAATTCATGTATATATATTATATATGAATTGATTATATAATGTATTCATCATCCTCCAATTAATTAGTCTCTCATCTATACAGCTGTTTCTATAGATTATTTAGTGGACTTCCTCGTTTCTCATGGTAGACATTTCAGATTTAGTTTTGAGTTTACCTAGATTTCGATATATTCAGGTATCTCGGTTTAGGAATTGTCCAGTTTTCGTGTACTTTTTATGTGGTTGTGTTATCGGTTACATTTGGTTTAGTCTAGTTGGAGTGTAACTAAAGCAACTCCAATTAGAACTCGGTTTGTTTGTACCGTTTGTTTTAATCCGGTTAAATTTGGTCTTAACCAAACCAATAATGTTGCGCATGATTAAACAAACTTTTAAATTTAAAGTTGACTTTTTTTTACTTTCATTTTAAGACAATGGAGGATACTCATTATGATCGATGTAGATAGCTATAGAGAACGAGAGAAAAAGAGAGAAAGATGGAGTTCGCAAACACGAAATGGGTGGCTGCGGCGGCTAGCATATGGATACAAAGCTTTAGCGGAGCAAGCTACACTTTTGGAATTTATTCTTCTGTTCTCAAATCATCTCAATCTTATGACCAATCTACTCTTGACACCGTCTCCGTCTATAAAGACATCGGCGCAAACGTAGGAATCCTCTCCGGCCTTTTCTACACTGCGGTTGCAAGCCGAACAAGCGGTAGCGGCCGCTTCTTTGCTGGTCCATGGTTGGTTATATTTGTGGGGCTGCTCCAATGGTTCGTGGGATATGGATTCATATGGATGGCTGCGTCAGGAGTGATCGAACGGCCTCCCGTGGCTGTGATGTGTTTGTTCATGTTCTTCGCCGGTCATTGTCAGCCTTTCTTTAATACCGCGATTGTGGTCACCGCCGTCCGTAACTTCTCCGACTATGGTGGGACCGCCGTTGGCATTATGAAGGTATAGGTTATATTGAGACGTGAGGAATAAGATATATAAATTCTTGAAAAAGATTAATTCTTGTATCGGACAGTTTCTGCTCTTTTTATCGTGTAGTTTAGACCATATAAAATACGAAATAACTTTAAATATTGACATTACTGGCTGGAGAAAGAAACTAGCAGCTAGTAGGTTAGGTATATTGAAATGATAATGTATACGACTGGTCTTTTTCTATATAGTTACATAAACTAGTTAAAATCAATTTTGATGTTGTCTTGTAGACCACTAAATAGGATAAATCGGTAGATTACAAACATATATAATTCTTAATACGTACATAATTCTCATTACAAACATATATACTTGATAAGTTTTGTGGCCCTTATGTGTCATGTGTTTTTAATTTTTTAGGGTTATCTTGGGCTAAGTGGAGCAATTCTGGTTCAAATGTACCACATCTTCTGTGGAGGTGACCCAAGGAATTACATTCTTCTCTTGGCAGTGGTACCATCACTCCTCATCATGACGTTGATGCCCTTCGTTAGAACGTACGACACAGTCATCGCAGGCGACAAGAAACACTTGAACGGTCTCTCCGCCATCTCTTTGATAATCGTCACCTATCTTATGGTCGTCATATTGGTCGAAAATATTATCGGAATGTCAATGCCTATGAAGATATGCTCCTTTACCTTTCTACTTATCTTGCTCGCCTCTCCTCTCTTAGTGGCGGTTAGAGCACAACGTGAAGAGAAACAGAGATTCTTGTCTTTGGATTTTCCGGTTACCGAGAGAACCACGTTGCTTGACTCTCCAAAGCTCAACTCTTCTTCCGGTAAGGTTTAGTTTTGGTTCTTATTTATTGACGAATGATATTTTTGGTGGTCCAGGAGTGAATTATACCCTTTTAAGTTAGTTTAGGTCCCTTAGTTATCTGCTTATCGAAGTGAAAGTCCTAACACATTTCAATCAATCGACAGATGTTAAAGTTGTTATGACCAATGACATGAACGTTCTCGAAGCTATATGCACAACAAACTTCTGGCTTCTATTTGTGGCGATGATATGTGGAATGGGTTCAGGACTTGCGACGATAAACAACATCAGACAGATGGGCGAGTCACTTCGCTACTCAACGGTTCAACTCAATTCTCTGGTGTCTCTCTGGAGCATATGGAACTTTCTAGGCCGGTTTGGGTCGGGTTACATCTCAGACACCTATTTACACAGTCATGGCTGGCCAAGACCGGTATTCATGGGCATAACCCTTGGCCTTATGGCTATAGGTCACATTGTCATGGCCTCCGGTGTACTAGGAAGCCTATATATTGGGTCCTTGTTGGTCGGTTTAGCGTACGGCTCCCAATGGTCACTGATGCCAACAATAACCTCTGAAATATTCGGGGTTCGTCATATGGCAACTATATTCTATACAATTTCGATAGCTAGTCCGGTTGGTTCGTACATTTTCTCAGTGAAGGTAATAGGCTACTTGTATGACAAGGTAGCTTCTGAGGATGATCATTCTTGTTATGGGAATCATTGTTTTAGGACTTCGTATATGATAATGGCAGCCATGGCTTTGCTTGGATCTCTTGTGGCTTTTGTGTTGTTCCTCCGCACTAAGAAGTTTTATGCGACGCTTGTGGCTAAGAGGATCTTGAAGTAATCTTTACGAACCTAGGGTCTGAATCGTGGCTTCATATTCATTTAATTGGTTTCTTTTCTTCCCTCACATTTCAAAAGATAAATATCTATTATTTGTAGAAAGGAAATTGAGCATATGGCCTACTTTTTTTTTCTTTTATTGACATGAGTCATATCACCTACATATCATTTTCAGAAATTTAATAATTTGTGTTAGAAATTTGACGGGTGGTCTGGTCTCGCCGCTTGCCACACGTCAAAATTGCGGTAAGCCGATAATTAGAAATTTACCCGCAACAAAATTACTGTTAATCAGTGTTTTTAAATCCGACCAACATAGTGAACCGGACTACCTTCTGGATCATCGAGTTACTAGGTCAACCGAGTTCGACCACGGGTCAATTAATTAAAATATATTTAATATTTAAAGAGATTATATAGTTTTTATAAATATAAAAATAAAATATTCAAACTATATTTACAAAATATGAAGTCTAACAATAATAACAAAGTGATTTAAATTAAATTTTTAAATCTAAGTAAAAGTCTAAAACCGTTACAAATATTAAAATAGTAGGAGATCACCAATGACGGAAATAAACTAAAATACCATCGCGAATTCAAAACAACTAATCTCGATTATTTCTTTCACCATTCTATCCATTCTTCTTACACGGTACAATGAAGTTTCATCAAAATCTAAAACATCAAATGAGTTTAAGAATTAAAAAAAATTCTAAAAATAACTAAATAGAGTCTAAAACTCTATTTTTTATTTCAAAATCAAATGATAATTTTAAAACCCATGCCCAGCCGGTTTAACCGGTTTTCTGAGTCACGGGTTAATAGCGGGTTTATGTGAGTTTTTGCGGTTTTGAAATTGGCGGATATTAGCACTAAATCCAAACCGGAAAAGTGTATGGGTCGTGATTAATCGGTTGGACCGGACGATTCGGATGGGACGTGAAAACACTGCTGTTAATCGATAAAAATCTGTTGTTTGGAAAGTAGAAATTTTAGTTTCTGTTTTTGATTATCAGTTATACGCCAATACCTTTTCAAATACGTAAAGGATAATTCGTATTTAATTGATTTTTGTATGACTATTAAACTTAAGCTCAACTGTCAACTCCAATACCTTGTTGATCTCGCAAGAGCAGCAAATAATTAATTAAAGACTAAATTAATCACGAATCACGATGTTGTCTAGAGTGCAATTGAATACTTCTTCTCTTCGTTTGACATCACCATCATCAGATTCAGACCGGAGATTTTCTTATACAGTTTCGGTAGTAAAATCGAAACTGGCTTTCAATTTTTCGAGACGATGGAGAGAATAAACACGAAATGGGTAGCAGCAGCAGCGAGCATATGGATTCAAAGCTTTAGCGGAGCTACATACACATTCGCTATCTACTCTTCAATCCTCAAATCATCTCAATCTTATGACCAATCTACTCTTGATTTCGTTTCTGTCTTTAAAGACATTGGTGGTACCTTTGGTATCATCTCCGGTTTCCTTTACACGGCCATGACTTCTAAGTCACGCGGCGGTTGTGGTGGGCCTTGGGTTGTTGTTTTCGTTGGCTTAGTTCAGTGGTTTGTCGGATTCTTTTTTATTTGGGCTTCGGTTGTTGGGTTGATTGCTCCGCCGCCTGTTCCGGTGATGTGTTTGTTCGTGTTCTTGGCTGGTCACTCGTTGCCGTTTTTCAATACGGCTAATGTTGTGACGGCTGCTCGGAACTTCTCTCGTTATGGTGGGACTGCTGTTGGCATTATGCAGGTAAAAAGATTGTAACTTTGTTGAAGAATCATCAAATTGGGTGAAGTTGAAACTCAATTTGTGTGCTTAGGAGTCTCACTTTCTGTTGTTTGTGTTTACATGACCAAAAAAGAGTTCGCCTTTTTTGAAGAAAGATTCACATTTTTGATTTGGAGCTTAGTTTCTCTAGCTTTGTTTGCATCCTAATGGTGGTTGCACTTGAGTCTTTTTTTGTTGTACACTCTCTCAGTTTGATGTATCCAAAAGCTGACTCATTTTCCTCTAAATGTGTATATCTTTGAACATCAGGGATTTCTAGGTCTAAGTGGAGCAATTCTGATTCAGTTGTACCACGCGGTCTGCGGTGGTGAAGGTAACCCTGCTACTTTCATTCTTCTCCTGGCCATAGCGCCAACGCTTGTCATGTTCGTGACTATGCCTTTTGTAAGAGTTTATGAAACGGTCACAACGAGTGACAAGAAACACTTGGATGGTCTCTCTGTGATCTCTTTGATCATTGCCGCCTATCTTATGGTCATTATAACGGTTGAAAACGTTCTCGGTTTATCACGCTCCATGCAGATTTTCTCCTTCATCCTTCTGCTTTTGTTGCTTGCCTCTCCTCTTTTTGTTGCGGTCAGAGCCCTACGAGAAGAAAGGCAGACACTTTCTTCTCTGGATCTTCCTGTTCTCGACACATCTGCCTTGCTCGACCCTCCTAGTTCAATCATTTTTCCCGGTAATTATGCATATCAAAAACTGGATTAGGCCCCCCTAAGTCAGCACACTAAACAGAATGAGGACAGAATGCTGATCGTTTTACAAAATTTGTGCAGATGGAGATCATGTGGTTGCTGAAGACTCAAACTTACTGGAAGCAATGAGCACAGTGAACTTCTGGCTACTCTTCTTGGCAATGCTATGTGGGATGGGTTCCGGATTCGCGACTGTAAACAACATGAGACAGATAGGCGAGTCTCTTCGCTACTCTTCGGTTCAACTCAATTCTCTGGTCTCTCTCTGGAGCATATGGAACTTTCTAGGCCGGTTCGGGGCTGGTTATGTCTCAGACATATTCTTACACAAATACAGCTGGCCAAGACCGGTCTTCATGGCCATAACTCTAGGTGTTATGGCAATAGGCCACATCATAGTGGCCTCTGGTTTACAAGGCAGTCTCTATGCTGGTTCGGTTTTGATCGGTATGGCTTACGGTTCGCAGTGGTCGCTGATGCCGACAATCACATCAGAGATATTTGGGATCCGGCATATGGGAACGATTTACTTCACGATATCGATTGCAGGTCCCATCGGGTCGTATATTCTCTCTGTGAAAGTGATAGGTTACTTCTACGACAAAGTGGCTTCTGAAGATGACAATTCTTGCTTTGGAAGTCAATGTTTCAGGACATCGTTTATGATCATGACTTCTGTGGCTCTCTTCGGCTCTTTGGTTGCTTCTGTATTGTTCTTCCGCACAAGCAAGTTTTACAAAAACCTTGTAGCCAAGAGGAACTTGAAGTGAGCTTGTAAATTGTATCTACTTGTGATTTGAAGTATGAAGCGTGATTAGTAAGCGTCTCAGTCTCCGTTTTTTTTTTTTTTTTTTTGTGTTGTTTGTTGTGTTTGATCTTTCATGTTTTATTTTATTTTATAATAATTCTCGGATGATATATAGAAAAATGATTCGAGCTTGAAAAACTTCACAAGAAAAAGGAAAAAAAAGATGTATAATGAATGACATATCAACGTATATTAATTTTTGTTGTAAACTTTAATGATATTTTCGTAATTATTTATCTTAGGTCATCTAGGTGTCATTGAATCAATTTGTTAATGAAACGAAATGTGGATTATTAACACAATCCCATAAATCAACCGTGTTGGTCGGACCAACCGGTCGAACCGCAATAACTGGGTCCTAGTTTTAACTGTAAAACCAATCACTTTGTCTAAACCGGAGGAAGTCGATTAAACCATAAACCCTGGATTGAATTTCGGTACTGAGAAGTAAGAACCCTAAAGGCTTCTCCTTTCATAATCGGCGCCAACACCAAGACTTTGAGCAGTCTCTTTTAGTCGCCATCGATCTTCAAAGCCAACGAGGGTTCTTCTACTCTGCTGTTTTCAGGTTAGAACTTCTCCTTCTGTTTCGATTCAATCTAAATTGTGAAGCTTTATTCTTCTCTACCTGTTTTGTTTATTTGCTTATTTCATGTTTCTGCGTCTCTTCTCCAACCCTAAAGCTTCAATTTTTGAGTTTGTATTTCTTTCATATTTTACGCTTTGTTTATATAGAATTTTGGCTAGAGTCTAGTTTTTCTTGTTATATGTTTTGATGATTTTTTTCGATTGCTATGATAATTATGAAGATTGTATAGTATTGCATTAAATTTCTGTCTTTGTGTTCTGATATTGTTTCCCATCTTATCAGAATCTGAGAAGCTCCATCTTACTCTTACAATTCCTCCCAGGCAACCTTCTTCAATCTTTCCGAAAAGTAAGTTTTTGTTTGTTTGTTTGTTGAGTTGGTTTCAGCCTCAAAGTAAAGTGATTGATTAACCTAATTGTTCCCGTTCTATTGTAGAGAATTCAGCTGGATTAGTTAAGGAAACGGATCCTAGTTATGGAATCATTATGTGTTGGCATTGACACCAGCATGTGCCTCTCACCCTCAGAAACGGACCTGCCTGTTTCTGAAGATTTTGGGGAGTACATGCGCTCACGCTTATCACAGTCCAAAAGACAGGACCATGAATATCTATGCGCTGTCATTGATGAGTTATCAAAAACTCTAGCAGAAGATAATCATCCTCGGACACCTGTGGCTTACTTTGCCAAGACATGCATCTCGCTAGACAGCCTCTTGTCGGAAGATGGTGAACCACGTTTGGATGTTGTCCAGCCACATGTTGTCATCCTTTCCCTTGTGTTCCCTAAAGTCTCAGCAGGAGTACTGAATAGGGATGGGTTGGCTTTGCGTCTCGTCCTTAGTGTTCTGCGTCTGAAATCAGCCACGCCTGAGTGCTTGATTTCGGGATTGAAGTGTTTGGTTCACCTTCTCACAACTGTTGAGTCCATTATGGGGAACGAAGGCTCTGATTCCTACAGCATTTTACTGAATTTTGTAACTCATTCAGACGGAAAGGTAAATTACAAATTTGCTGGTGTTGATGATTTGGTCTGCATCAGACTTTGACGATCTTCTTCTTTTAAATCCAGGTAAGAAAGCTAGCAAGCTTGTGTCTCCGTGATGTCCTGCTGAAATCCCATGGAACAAAGCCCTGGCAATCAGTCAGTGGAGCTATTGCAGAATTGTTCCAGAATTATTTAGAACTCGCCCATAAATCGGAAGTGGGTTCTACCGAAGGAGCCAGGGGAGCAAAGCAAGTGCTTTACATTCTCAGCACTCTGAAAGAGTGCTTGGCCTTGATGTCGAGAAAGCACATTGCTACTTTGATTGAGGGATTTAAGATGCTGATGATTCTTCGCGATCCATACATTACAAGGCCAGTGATAGACTCTTTATATGCAGTTTGTCTCAATCCAACCTCCGAGGTTCCAGTTGAGGCGCTGCTCGAAGTGTTATCTCTTGCGGCTGGACTGTTCTCAGGACATGAAACATCTGCTGATGCCATGACCTTTACAGCACGTTTACTGAAAGTTGGGATGACTAGGAGTTTTTCCCTGAATAGAGATCTTTGTGTGGTTAAACTTCCTAGTGTGTTCAATGGTCTGAATGGTATGCTGTTGTATTTGCTCCTTCCTGCTTTTTGGTTTCAGAATTTCTCAAACATACTGCTTTTCGTTTCAGTGTAGTTTATCATACTGTTGACATGATCTATTTGCCTCTTTTGGCAGATATTGTTGCATCTGAACACGAGGAGGCAATCTTTGCAGCAACTGATGCGTTGAAGAGTTTAATATTTTCATGCATTGACGAAAGCTTGATCAGAGAAGGTGTCAACGGAATCCGGAATTCAAGCTTGAATGTACGGAAGTCTAGTCCAACAGTCATTGAAAAGCTGTGTGCAACGGTTGAGAGCTTGCTTGATTACAAGTACCATGCAGTCTGGGATATGGCTTTTCAAGTAGTTTCAGCGATGTTTGATAAATTAGGTAACTATTCCTATCTGAGATACTAACCCTTGGCCTCAGGGAGTTATTTGGACCAGTTATTTACTTAACTGCCATGTGCTAATCCTTTCACACAATTTTTCAGGTGAAGAGTCTGCATATTTTATGAGGAAGACCCTCGAGGGCTTATCAGATATGCAAGATTTACCTGATGAAGGATTTCCTTACCGGAAGCAGGTAACTGTACTATACTTGTCCTGGAGCGGAATGATCATCTACTGGATTCTAGATTAGGGTACAAATACTTCAGATATTGATGTCATTTGTAATCTCTTATCTTGGCATCATCATTGATCATATAGTATTTTGTCTCCATTGTTACAGAAATATAATATTCTTGACCATAGAACGTCAGTAACAATATTAGGTTACGTATATGGTGAGTTGTTCTAAGAAATAAAATGCTGTGAGCATATGCAACTATGTCAATAGATATTAGGCTGTGTTGTTTTTCATTGAAGTCTCAAAATGCTTGATCTTTTGGCTAAAGTTCTTGTATAAACCTTTCCTGCTTTTTTATTGACGTAGTGGTGGATCATGCTGTTGGTACAGCAATTGGATACACAAAATATCTATTATGTTATGTAGACGTTTTCTCACTTTTAGTCAAAAATGAATGATAGTACGATACACGATGATGCAACATGTCACTGTATTAGACATTGCTTCTGTTAGTCACGTTCTGTAATTTCCTGACTGTTTATTTGACTGATGTTATCTTTATTTGCGATCTACAGTTGCATGAGTGTGTAGGATCAGCCGTTGGTGCAATGGGACCTGAAACATTTTTGAGCGTTGTTCGTTTAAACCTTGAAGCTAGTGATCTGTCTGAGGTAAAAGTTTGGCTCTTCCCAATCTTGAAGCAGTATACAGTTGGAGGTCGCCTAAGTTTCTTCACAGAGACTATTTTTAGTATGGTCGAAACAATGAGCCAGAAAGCTCAACAGGTTATTTTTATTATTTCCCGCTGTTTGATGATATATGCTTATCTTTATTATTCTTAAATTTTGCTAATTGTGATGGCAGCTCAAGCTACAAGGTCTTCCTGTAGCATCTAGGAGTGTGGATTCTCTCGTATATTCATTATGGGCTTTGTTACCTTCATTCTGTAATTATCCCGTGGATACTGTGGAGAGTTTTGCCGATCTGGGGCGAATATTATGTGGAGTTCTTCAAACACAGGCTGAGACCCGTGGAATTATATGCGCCAGTTTGAATATTCTTATTCAACAAAACAAGGATGTTGTTGAGGGGAAAGTACCTACTAATGATGCTAGTCCTGCTATTCAACGAGCTACTGCTCGTTATGATTCACAGCATGCTGCAGCTAATTTGAAAGTTCTGCGGTTGTGTGCTCCTAAATTATTGGATGTTTTGACAAGGATATTTCATGAATCTGGCAAAGATGATGGCGGTTCTCTTCAGGTAATTCAGAACCTTAGAGGGCAGGGTAATCTAATACCTTACATCATAGAAAATTAGAAATTATGATGAGTTGGAACATAAATATCAGTTCGTTAAATGTCACCAGAGCTTGTTCTTCTTTGTGTTGTATTCTCGTGTAACTGGTCGATGTCCCTCACTAATTAGATAAACTTAACTAAGTCAGAGCTTATCACAGTATTTGATAACTTTCATTGTCTTACTTTCAGTCTGCGATAGGCAACTTGGCTTCCATAGCGGAGAAAAAGACTGTTTCAAAGCTACTTTTCAAGACTCTGCGAGAGCTTTTAGAGGCTACCAAAACTGCCATTGCACAAGATGAAAGTTCTGTTAGTGGGATGGATGTGGATAATACCGCAGACAAAAATTCATCTTCCAACTTAAGGTACTGTTACTCTGATTTGTGTTTCTAATTGCTTAGTTAAATTGACCCTAAAATCTGCAATTCATTTCAGGGCAAGGTTGTTTGATCTGTTAGTTTCACTTCTACCGGGTTTGGATGGTCAAGAAGTAGATACCATATTCAGTTCTCTGAAGCCTGCAATGCAGGTTTGTAAAATGATATTTTGTATTGAATGATTTATTGTCTCGTGTGGCTGTGATTTATCTGCCTACATGAAGATGACTTTTTCTTAAATTAAGATGAGTATATGCTGATGTGGATCTTAACTGCAGGATCCCAAGGGCCTAATTCAAAAGAAAGCGTACAAAGTTCTTTCGATCATCTTGAAGGTATTGATTACACTCTTCGACTAGGTCATGTATATTGATTTCTTTTGTGCATAGCCGACTGATTTCATTCTTGCTTAGCGTCTAAATCTACATTGCTCGGATGCAGTGATGACATTTTGTTTCTGCCTAATATATGCTTAGTTAATTTATGTTAAACAGTAGAGGACTGACAATAAGTTCTGTCCTCTATACACTGATGCTGTTTCTTAAGGTCCTTGAAAATCATTAACCTAAGCTCTCTCAATTACAAATAAATCTTGACTAATGTCTTT